TGCAAACCCAATGTTACAAGGCTAAGCAAATCTGAAAAATTATTCTTATGCATTTTAAAACTTGCTATTGCTACATATGCCTGGACATTGATACCTTTGAGTAAAGGTGCTTTGATTCAGCATGTCCAGTCATGCTTATGTAATACCTATATCCACACAAAGGAAAAAGTCCTATTGTTTCCTAGGGTGGAAGGTGGGATGAAAAGAGTTTAACTTTTGTTGCAGGTTGTTTGGACATCTGGAGGCAATAATTTAAAGTAATGTAAATAAGGTATTGTAATTTAAAAATTCTAGGACACAATTAATTCTAGGACACTTATTTTATTGGTGATTATATTTTACATTCTAAATGCTTCCAATTTTCTTCCTGTGGCTTAGAATTTTTTTGTGTCATAAGCAAATTAAAGATGTGGATTTGTTTCTCCTATCATTTCTGTAGCTATATTGCATAACCTGGTGAAAATATAGGAGACCTCTCTGGCATCTTCTAAACATGGGTGTTTATGGTAAACCATCAGAAACAAGTGATTCTTTGGCCTCAATGCTCCAGTATGTATATTTTCTGAGGGTAGGTTGGATCCATAATACAGCTTACATTGTGATCCTATGGCTGAATAACTATTTATGGGACTGTTCAGTTCAATACCTTTATGGCATATAGGGAAAGGAGCTCTGAGTCTTTCTTAATAACTTGAAATCCAGGTGTTTAGTCCTTCTTTCCTCAAATGGAGCAAGGAAGGATATTAGTCCCTGAATGATGAACTTTGAATGCATCATTAAAAATTCTTTCTTTCACAGAGTCTTAGGTTACTTTATGAAGTACTGTAACAACATGGTATCAGGCATCTCTTATCTAGTTTCCTCTTTCTAACAATATCCTGTGGAAATTATACTGGTAAATTCTTTGAAATTTTCAGCTATGCATTATTAGTCTATGAGTGTTTTAATACAGAGAACATTGTGACTTGCTCCATTGGCAGAATCACTATTCCGATGATACCTCAGTCTACAAGTTATATAATTGCTTAGCAATTCACTCTTTTCAATAGGCTCCTAATTATCTAGGCTTAATAGAAAATACACGCTGACTTCCAAGGACTTCTTGAAGCAAATTTGTAGACTATAACTAATTAGAGGGTTCCATAATACTTTCAATATTAGAATATCATATTAGTTTCAACTCTACAGGGTATACATTTGTCATGTGGCTCTTCTGGTAAGTGGCATTTGGAGATAGAGGCATGTATTATAAAGCTTATTAAGAGAAAAGGATTTGGAATCAGATCAATTTTGTTTCAAATCTGGTCTGCCACAGATAAGCTAAATGACCTTGGGCATGTTAATTAACTCCGCTGGGACTCATGTTGTACATATAAAGAGCCTAATACAGTGTCTAGCACATTGTAGATAATAAAAGACTATAAGTTTTATTGCTTTATTATCAGATTCATTGGATCGAAATCTTTCATCTCAGCAGCATCTTGCCACCTTGCCAGCAGTGTTTCTCTATTCAATAAACCAGATCAAGATTTCTATCCACTTCATTGAGAGGACTGAGGCAAGCATTACATAGGGCCATTTCCATTCAGTATTCTACCACTGTCTCTTTCCAACTACGTAAAAGCAGTTTCATTTGCAATGACTCAAAAATAATGAACTCCATGGTGAGTGAATAGTTTTTTTTCAACTACTAAACATTGTTCTGACAATATAAACTCCAGGACTAACTGTACTCTATTCCTTTTCCTCAAGGAGACCATATTTAATTATGATTGCCTTGGTCTTGGAGGGGAGTTGTTTGTTACCAGATGCTGTCCTAAATTCTCAAAGCCTGGTACAAAATAGCCTGTCATACAAAGCTTAATCCTAAATCCTTCCTAAAGCCTTGGTTAACTTTTGGGCTCTCAAGTGTTTTCTACATTAACCTCACTCAACCCGAGAACTTAGATCAGAGCTTCTTCCAGAATGAACAACAGTTCACTTTTGCCCTTGTCCTTACTCTCAACCTTTTGAGCTGAATACATTGGACTTTCCCTATTTGGCTGTAATCAGTTTGGATGTTCTTTGACTTTGGTTCTTAGCACTGGCTGAAAAAAGCAGCTCTCAGTATCAATAATGAAGAGAAAGAAACAGTTTATTTTGGTTACGTTAACATAGAAAGTCTTCAATGCCTCCAAGACATTCAGATGTGCTAGAATACTCAGAATTTTAAGTGACAAAACATTCAAATAAGCATGAATGCTAAGTAAAAGAATGTACTATGCTTCCAAGAATTTTGCTAATCCATGATTTGTTTATTAGAAGGGAGCATCTAGCTTATTGCAGCTTAAACTTTTGTATCTCTGAACTCTTTAAAAACCATCTACTTCTGACCAAGTAGCACCTGTTGAATTTAGATATCTATTTAATTTGATTCTTCTCACCTCCAGCTATAATAGCCAACTCATAGAAAATGAATCTGTTTTTCAATATTGGGAAGAAATATTTTAGTTTATTTTCATTTTCTTATTGTTTAGTATTTTGGTTTTATTCTAAATTTTATGCAACCACTGAAGAATGAAGCACTGGGACTAAAGAAATGAAACTGGACACCCAAGCCATTAATCCCTTTCCTTCTAAATAGATTAAATTCTTGTGTAAACTGTCACAGCCAGTGTCTTTAGATACTTTCAACATGGTTAATACAGTATCCACCATATATTTGGCATGCCACCAAAAGTATTCAATAAGTTGATCAGTATTGATATCCTTCTGTAGACTTTGAATTTCTGGTTATTTCCATCAATTTTTCACTAATAGAGATTCATTTTTTTATACTGTGAAGTGGTTCTGAGAGTAATCAGTAAAAGAAAAGTTCTTTGGGGGAGAAATTTTTCAATGGGCACATTATATAATTCAAGCTCTGTATCTGCTACATTTAACCAAAAGAGAACATTATAAGATTACAGACATAGTTCAGTGTCTCAACAGAGTCATTAAAATGATTCCAATGAGGAATTAAATTAAGACTATAAAGTGCTCATATTTATCATACTGGAAAATGATAGGCAATGATTTGAAAGCCTCAGTTTTACATCCTTACATTTGAAAGTAGCAGAAATGCAACAGTGTTCTAACATGTTGACTATTTAGCAATCTCTTCATCTTTAATTTAAAAATATTATTCCGTTTCTTCCAAAAATAGAGTGAAAAGATTTATATGCTGGTGAGAAAGGAGAGAAAAACATGCCTTTTGAATTTCAACTGTCTTAAGAATAATCAAGTTACTAACTTGATTGTTTCATTGAATGAAAAGTTAGTTATAGGGGGGAATGTAAAACCAGAGACAAAAAGAGGGACCAAAATGAATAAGACATAATGCCTTGAGATTTAAAAAAATACCACATTTCTGGTCATTTTTAACTTTTATAAAGTATAAAAAGTATACATCACTAAGATTTATTAATAATTTATTAAAATTAAGTAAGTAGATGGTTCAACTAAAACATCAAATATTTTAATTCTACTAAAATCAATGGTTATTCTCAACATTTCACAATGGAAATGTAGTAGATGTGCACATGTTTTTCACTGGTATTCCTCTACTTATAGAGGGATGACTCATACACACTCTTTCTACATATTCATGTAGAAGCTGTTCCAGTTTGTTGACCAACATAGCTTCCATCTATGGTCACTGGAGATTATTTTCTGGTCTCTTCCTTCCTAATGTATATAATAGTGTGAGTTTCCTACTTTTTGTACATTTTTTTCTCCTGAACTTCTCTGGAAAGAGAAAGGAGAGGACAGGGAAACTAGAAATAAAATGTCTGGAAATATGTTTAGGACAATATGAGATTAAAAGTTCTCTCTCGAATTTAAGAAATCTCCACTGTAGGGATATCCAAGATTTTTCAGAAGAAGTTTCTTTTTTCTTTCTCCTTTTATTTTGTCATTTTTACATTTACTTACATGTGTATACATTGTTTGTACCACAGAAGAAGTTTCATAATCAGAAATTGATCTGTCAGTTACTTTTATAATAGTGGCAGGTTGAAACGGTCTAGACCAGGTTGTGACTCAAATGTAAGTCAAGAGTCTGTGGAGTTTTTATTCAAATGTAATATTTCTCTTTTTTATTCCAAAGGTTTGTGATGTCACTAAAGCAGCTAAGTTTAGGGAGGTCAAAAGGTAAATCATTTTAATTATTATCAAATTATAATTATTAGTTGATTCAAAGCTGAGAGTACTAAACACTGATGATACAAGACAGAGTTTATAGCTCAGGGTAAATGGATTTCAATCTAAAAAGTTAGATGATCCACACGAGGATCAGGCAGGCCACATGTGAGCATGGATAGAATGCTGGACGTCCAGGCCTAGTCAAGATTAGAGTTGGTGTGACAAGATTTGTCCACGGTTTGGTGGGGGCAGTGATAAGCATAAGAAGAGTACCTGGTTCTTCTGCTAATGCTAACTCTGGTTTTTCTGTTCTACAGTTCTATTAATAAAATTGTTGATAAGCCTGGTGAGTTGAAGAGATGTCAGTCAGTTTGCTCTAGCATTGAGTCACTACTGTAATCTTTTTGTTACTATTAGAAAAACTTCCAGAATAATAAATAAGTGATTTACAAATAAATCTTTGGAAACACTCATTATGATTTGCTTGTACAGCCTTCTTTACATATATATATATATATATATATATATATATATATATATATATATATATATATATGTGTGTGTGTGTGTGTAAAGCAAAAAAAAAAAAATAATCCATGACCCTCCTCCAACACATTAAAACCCCACCAAAAACCCTTTTCTTTTTTATTTTTAGTATTTGTTAGGCACTATAGTGGATTCCTTTTTCCCTCATGCTGAAAAAGTTTCTAATTAGCTTCACATAGTTAGGTAAATAAAGCACAATAAAAATATTTAATTTTTTTCTCTAGCCATTATATTAATTACAGTAGAAATCAGTATTTTAAAAATAAAATTGTCAATAAAAATTCATTTCTTACCTTGTCAGAAGGTTTGAATGGATTTCCCTGTCCACTAATTCCACCACTGATACTAAATCCAAGGCCAGGGTTCTTTTCTATTCTCACACAAAACTATGTAAAAGAGATAAATGAAGGTAAGTACTTTTAAATAAGTCCATCCCAGTGAAAAGATTCACATTTCACTTCAGTTTGTAGGGAAAGCCTATGTTGACCTAGAAAGCAAAAGACACATAAATTTCAACAAAATATTTACTATTTTTATATGCATCACTCATGATGGAAACTAGTTTGAAATCACTTGAGCAGTCAGGCATTAATGAAGTATTTAATTGTCATAATGTGCAGGAATAGGTTTTGATCTGTCTTGTAAATGTACATGCATTCAGACTAATTTGAAAGAACTACATGAATAAGTGGCAGAAAGGTCTCAAATGCAGAGAGAAGGAAAATATGGCCATTTAAATAAGGTACTCTGCTTTCTAATAGGGTAGTATAATTCAACTCCTAATTAGATAATTGTAATGTTTAGGAACATCAGGATTTTTAGTTTGAGAAATGGGCATCGTTGGAAAGAGGGTGAAACAAAGGAAGAATGAAGCTGGCAGTGAAAAGAACTTCGAGTATGGTGGCAGCTCCTGGAGCTGGAGTTAGGGGCCTAGGGAGAAAGTGAATAGTAGAAAAAGGTCAAAGAAAGAGTTCAAGTATATGGAGATGCTGTGATAGGGAGTAGCCAATAAATGCTTAGAGATGTAAGGACTAATATTCTAGGGTACTGTATTTTGTTACTCCTCAGTACGTCAAGTCAACAGTAGAAGTAAAAAGTAAAAGTAAAAACAGTAAAAGTAAAAAGGAGCTTTGTGTTTTATAAGGCTATAGGGAATGATAGCATTAGGAGTAGAGTCCACCTGGGTAAGGCTGTAGTAAAAGGGTAGCAATGGGAAATCTGCCAGAGATGACCTAAAGAAACTACAACAAACCTAAGAATTCTTGGCAACCCTGAGCTGGGCATGTGTGTGGCTATGGGAAAAATGCTGGTTCTGCAGGTAAAGTGGGACAGGGTGACCCCAGATGATTGAAAGCCTTAAGAGAAAGAGGCAGCATACTTTGGTTACATGAAGATAAAACATTTTTGTAAATTTTAAATACAGAAAATGTACTGGAACAAGATGAGCCAAATATTACCAGAGGTCAGCAGGCAAAAGATTAATAAAGAGTTAAGAAAAAAAAACCAGAACTACATTAGCATATATTTTGTATTTATGTAAATATATACTGGAAGAGTTCCTAAAGATGATTGGGAACATTTGCTTTCTTAAGAAGCTTAATGTTTTTTTTCCACCAGCATACTTGATTAACCTATTTATTTAATGCAAACACCCAAAATACTCTTTTGTTTTCAAGTACCTTTAAATACCTACCTTTTAAATAGTTCAACATCAATTAGGTTTCTCTGTTTAAGGAGACCATTTCTGAATTCACTGTCATATTTCATACTAGTAAATATAATGTTTAACTATTACACAGTTCACTTGCAATAAGGGTAAAAAAACTATCCACTAGTGTGATTTTTATGGTAGAGTCATTAATGAATAGTTTCTAAATTAAGGCCAGATGCAATTACTAAAAATACTTTTTCATATTTTTACTTTAAATATATATTTAATAACAACTTTTCCTTCAGTTGAGCTAGACTTGTTAAAATCTAGTTTTCATAGGGTGGTAGAAATTACAGCTTATACTAGTCTATATTTATATGGTTCATTGTCTATCGGTATGAACATATAATATTTTGATATAGCTAGAGGAAATACTTTAGCTTTATTTACTATACTTCTTGACCCTTTGCTATTATTTATTAGTTAGAAAATGAGAAGAAAGCAACCTGTATAATTGATTTTTTTCTTTTGTGTTTGCCCATATGTGTATGCATTTTCAAATAAATTATTTAAAATTTGGGTTATATCTTTCTAATGTGAAATTTTCATATACAATGATGTGCAAGGTGTATGTACTTCTGGCTTTCCCCAGGTCTCTATAAAACCTGAGAGGAAACAAATGCAACAGATTTCATTTACACAGAAGATTGCTGAGATTAATTTCCAGTCATTCTTTTTCAAGGTAGTAACTATATCTATTTTATATTATTGTAAATCTGGAAGGCACTAAAAATCTAAGAAAACCAAATTTCATATGTGCCAAGTATTTGAAGAACAGTCTCAATATATTTTTAATAATAGAAATAATAAAGATGATACTGTGGTTTTATAAATGTGACAAACAAATATAAATTCTGATCTGAAGCTAAACGACTCTTGGGTATGCTAAGGTATGGCTAAGGTTGTGCTATGACTATTGGGTCTCATAAAACATGTCAGAGAGAGAGAGTATTCATTTCACATCTAGGGAGTTCCACCTGCCTGCCAAGGCCCAAAGAAACTGTAAAATATAAGAGGAAAGAATATGTTACTGTCAAGAGACAGTCTGAAAAGAAGGAGGATTAGCAAAGAATATGCAGTATTCTAGCAAAAGGTCAGGGCTAGGAGTCTAATAAATAGCATATTTAATGAGAATCAGTTTTTCAATTTTCTTTTAAGAGGCTGATAACCAATAATGAAATTTATGGCTGAAAACATAAAAAGGAGTCTTATGTTTTAATGTCTCTTACAACTTCCAGAGTCTGCTTCCTTCATGACAAAATAGATTATAATGTCACAGTATGGCCCTGTGAGATCATAATCTATAATCGTCCACACTCTAAAACCTAAACTCTAAAACAAAGGAAACAGCTGTGTGTGTGTGTGTGTGTGTGTGTGTGTGTGTGTGTGTGTGTGTGTGTGTGTGTATGTTTAGAGCTGTAATTCATGTTTAGGGAAAGATACCTGTGATGCTGAAATCAATTTGCCTCCTACTGACTATTCTCTTTCTTAGCATTATACACAATAAGGTATTTAGTGGAAACTATTTTGTACTGCTTAAGATGCATTCATTATTCACTTAATAGTTATACCAAAATTTTTATTCCAAGAACTACCCATTCTATTCTCAGCCAGTATGCTTTGGGTGAGTCATGTTATATAGATCTAAAACAAAGAGCTATATTTCCTAAAAATTTAATTTTTTATAGGATGGGTAAGTAACACAATCAGAAAGGACTAATATGATGTCACTAGGATGTCCAGGAAAGACAATCTTGCTCTTTCTTTCTTGTTTGAAAATGAAAAGGCTGGAGCTCTCACAGTTGTCTCTCTAGCATGAGGGAAAAGCTTTTCTTAGACAGGAAGCAACCCAAGGAGAGAGAAGCTTTGACTTCTACTGAGCCTGGTATTAAGTCTTATCTGAAACCTGCCCCATTCCTGAAATTTCAGATTACATGATTCAAAATGTTCTCTTTTTGCTTAAGCCTTATTAGATTGAGTTGCTAGTAATCAAATGTCTAAGTTGGTTAAAACTTTAGGAAAACCTTGATATTTGCATAAAACAAAAGAAGACTTCTTATTCTCTTTTTGAAAAGAAAAATATACATGTGGTTTGGGAACTGCAACAACTGTAACCACAATATTCTATAGTGTGTGACATTTTAGTTATTATGGAAGTATAAATCAAAACCACAATGCGATAACACTTCCCAGGATAATAAAACACTTCACAGGTAATAAAAAAAAGCAGACAGACAGAAACGCGTATTGGTAAGCATGTGAATAAATTGAAATCCTCATTTATTGGAATATATGTTGTACTTACTTTATTAAACAGTTTGGCAGTTCCTCAAAATGCTAAATATAATTACCATATGACCTATCAGTTTCATTCCTATGTATCTATTCAAGAAACACAAACACATGTACCTTTGTACAAATTTGTACATAAATGCTCATGAAATATTATTCATAATAGTCCCAAAGTAGAAACAACCCAGATATTCATCAAATGATGGTTCAAATGGATAAGTTGTTTATACAATGGAGTATTATTTTGGCAATGGTAAGGAATAAAGTACTAATACATGCTATGCTCAGTGTATTATGCTAAATGAAAGAAGCAAGTCATAAAAAACACACACTGCACCATCACATTTATATTAGTTGTCCAAAATAGGATAGTTTTATGCAGAGAAAGAAAGTAGGTGAGTGGTTGTCTAGGATTAGAGAGAAGGAATATGGAAACTGACTGCTAAGGGGTACAAGGTTTCTTTTTGGAATGATAAAAATGTTCTAAAATTAAATTATGGTGATGACTGCTCAATTACACATATAAGAAAAATAATTTACTTGTACACTTTGTTTAAAGTGAACTTTATGGTATGTATATTATATCAATAAAGCTGTTATAAAACAGTAAGAGGTGCATGACAGGAAAAAAAAGCTAAGGAAAGAGAAGGAAATGTAGGCAGGGACTATAACTGAAAGGACATTATACCATAGTGTAAAGATTGAGAATTTATTCAGAAATTTTGAAAGCCACTAAAGCATTTTAAGCAGAAGAGTGACACGATATAACATGTTTTGAAAAGCTAACTCTGGCAGTAGAGAATAGATTGACAGGAATTAAACTGGAAGAAAAGAAAGCACTGAAGGAGTATTGGACGTAGTTAGGGGCTATTGTGACTAACTAAAATGGCAGTGGTGCAGATGATGATAAGTGGTATGAGAGTCAGGATATATTTTGATAGAATTTCTTGGATTGGATGTTCAAAAAGGAAATGTGACCTTCCTGGAACAGGTCATTTTAACACTCAGTAATTATGGAGTACTTAAGTAGTTTACTGAGACAACGGTTTCAAACATGTCTTTGGATTAGATGCTCTGGACAACTGCATGAAGAGCACACAAGAGTTCAAGGTAAGGTTTTGTCTATTGGGGGTAGTTGAAGAAAACTACATCAAACTGAGGGATATATGAAGAAAAACTTGAAAATATTTGTTTTATTAAACTACGTTTTCTTCTCAAAGCTACAATGAAATGACAACATCAAAAATGTTGGGGAGGAGGTGGAAAAATCAACCTATGTGCTCAGCAATGGATGAATGGATAAAGAAAATGTAGTGTGTATATACACAATAGAATCTTAAATATCCCTAAAAGTAGAATCTTGTCATTTGCAGCAAAATGAGTAGAACTGGAGGACATTGTGTTAAGTGAAATAAGCCAGACATAGGAAGACAAGTAGTACATGTTCTCTCTCATATATGGAAATTAAAAAGGAAGTAAGTGAACCTGATGTAGATAGAGATTACTAGGGATTGGAGAGTGGAAGGGCATCTAGATAATCTAAGTGGATGAAGAGGGGATGTATTTGGTCAAGGCACTCTGTGTGCATGTATTGAAATATAACACTGAAACCTATCAATACATGTTAATAAAATATGGAATTTAAAGTTAAAAGGCAATAATTAAGATAGTTAGAAAACAGGTATGAAATGGGTTGGATGTATGTGTTGTACTCAAACAGCTTCAGGGACATCCAATACTTCATCCTGCACTTCTTAAAATATTGTTATTTATAAATTCCCTATAGAATTTTATTCTCCAGGCATTAAAAATAATCTACAGCTCTCAATTTATAATTCATGGTTTGACATAAGGAATGTGAAACTCAGCATAGTAAATTCTATAAAATGACTTTGTAAGTTGTGTAACAGTCACATGGTCAAATGCATGGACTGGAGGGTATAGTTGTCTATTTCTTTACTTTTGCAAGGTGAACTTACTCTAGACTTGTGTACTTGGCTATGGCGTAGCCAGCTACAACGTGTATATTGTAGACCCATGGCACTGGGTTCTAATTAAACTATTGTATGATCACAATCAAAACACTTAACTTCTCTTGGTCTTAGTTTCTTAGTCAACAAAAGAGAAGCTGGTTCACCTAGATCATAGCTTTAGTTAAATTAAATCAGTTTTTACATGGAAAGGTTCTGGGAGATTTGAAGCATCTTGCTGATATTTTTCCTTATTATTTCTGCCTTGGTATCTGTATGTTCTACTTATATAAATATACTTTGCCTTGGATTACAAATTTGTATAAGAACCAAGATGTTATTAGTTTCTTTTAAAATATTCAATTTATGTATGCTTTTAAATAGTGATAATACCAATATATTATTCAGCTGATAAGTAGTTGAGCCATAGAACATCTAAAGCATTTAAAACCTGAGGAGCTTTAAAAAATTACATTACCTAGGTAACCTGCAGATTAATAAAATCAGTTAATTTGGGAATGAAGCCAAAATGCATCAGTGTTTTTTAAATCTCCTTAACAGATTCCATGTATAACTGAGATTGAAAATAGCTGATGTAAATTATTATATTGTGAAGGGGAGAATAAGGAGGATAAGAAAGAAAAATATTGAAAACATTTAAAGATTATGTAGAGTTTCACATGAAAATTATAGCCGCTTGTTATGTTTTTGGTTTCATTTATTTTTCTGTCTTTAGACTAAGGAGGTTGGGAACAGTAACCATTAAGTGACTTCCAATATTTTCATTCTCAAACTCTCATACGCCAGGCTTACTTTTCTTCTGTGTGTGTGTAGAATTGTACCATTTGACTCTCACGGAAACTTTTCGACTGTTCTTCGTGGGTGGTAATTTCTTTTATTATTATTATTATTATTTCAGGCCTGGGGATCAATCCCAGGGACTTGTGCATGCAGGGTATGTGCTCTACCATTGAGCTCCATCTCCAGTCCATAATGTTTTCATTTTATGGAGAGAAATGGAATATCAGAAAGAGTTAATGTCTTGGCCAGAGTATGGCTAGTAAAAGTAAACACGAAAGTAGAACTTAAATTCTGAGACCTAGCTCTAGTATTCTTTTCCTTGAATGACATAGAGCTAAATGAAGAAGCACAGAGGTTAGGAAAAGCAAGAGAGATGAAAGGAAATAGTGTAGGGGATGGTGGTGTGCGGGAAAATGTTTAACAGCTTGTCAGGAATGGGGGCATACCCTGCTCTGTAATGTTTGACAGTTTTCAGGGCGTAAGTTTTCCCACAATGCCAGCCTTTTCATGGGATGTCATTGAAGGTGGAGTTGGGGAGAGATGCCCACAATAATGGGCCAATATGAGCCAGCTCTATCAAGATGTTAGCATTAAACAAACATACTGAATTATGGAGAAACTTTAAACAAACTGTTTCAAGATTTGCAAGTGGATTGGGAGGAAGAGAGTTTTAGAATCAGGACTAATTGTTTAAAGACCTTTTAGGCTTTATTCTTGTCACCCAAAGTTTTTAAACCTCAACATTCTAAACCATTTTCAGCCTCAAACCAAAGCAGACAAAACTAAAAAGGCAAAGGAATTATATTTAAGTCCTTTCTTTAACATAGTTTTGAATGCTTACATTTTCTTCTCTCAGTTTGAAAGGCACCCAGTATTATCAGAGTTATGAATCAAAACACATGAAAGGTATATTCTCTGAAAGAATCATGATGTTTTAAACTGAATTTATATGTAAACTTTAAGATTTAGTAATCTTCAGGTTAAACTATATAAATTATGTCTTTAGATATTCAGATTAACTGTATGGTAATACTAAGTTTATAGTTCCTTGTAGGTAAAACAGAGGGCTTTGACCTCAGTAGATTTTTTAAATATATCGATTCTGGTAACAACACAAAAACAACAACACGCATGTAGCTACTGATAGGCGTAACTAAATCAGAGAATGGGTTGAGGTTATGGTATTTGTGAGGTAGTAGATAGGAATAATTTTTTATTCTCTTAAGGTACCTTTGGTAAAGAATAATTTAAAACATCATTAGTTTTTCAGAAACTCCAGAGAATTAAAAACTTCACATCATTATCTGGTTAAAAGCACCTGTCTCATTTATTATACATTGAATCCAACACTTGGCCTAGATCAAGGAAGTAGAGTAAAAGAATTGTCTTGAAAAAAGTACCTATGATTCTGAGAATAATGAATACTACATTTCAGTTTCAAGATGGGTGGTAAGAAATAGAGGCAATGTTTAAAGTAGCTGGGATCCCATGATAAATGGCTCTTAATACCAAGAAAAAGCTGGAGAATGAACTTAATGTTTAGAAAATGAGGCACTTAACATGGAAAGCATTTGAGTAAGCAATAGCAAAGTGAGACCTTTATAAACCATATTAAAAATTCAGTAAAGTCAGTGGGAGCTATGCCTAATTATCTGAAGAATGAAATAAGACAAATTTTATGTGAGTATTAAAATCTTAATGTCTTACTTTCTAAGATTAATATAACTCAATAAATGAGATCCTATTCTGTTTTCTGGTCCTAAGGAAGTAAAATGGATTCTACAATGGAAAAGCAAATCCTAGTTTTAGATAGGTCAGAAAAGCAGCATTTTTTTTACATGGCATTTATCAACAGTTTTGGGGCGTTACAGAAATATTTCTCTTCTTAAATGTTCTTTATAGCAAAGTTTTATCTCTGTACTATTCAATAACCAGAAGATAGACTTTAAATTTTTTTTTCCACAAATAGAGGAGAATAATCCAGTTTATTTTTTATACTGTCAATTTTACCAGAGACCTCAGTCAATACTCCTAATCCATTGCAACTCCATAACCTTTAAAAACTGTGCTGTAGAGCTAATCACAGTTGGGAGAGAAAGGAGGTAGGGAGGGGCACAGAACAGAACTGGAAAAATATTCTGACCCATCATTTTTTCCTTTTTATAGGGTATTTTACCAACCATAAATTTCTATGTGTTATAGTCCTTTACCACTAAAAATAATTACAAAATCCCTATAAAGAATGTTCTATTCCATTCAGCTTGCTTACTGCATTATGTGTCCTGGACCACATTCGTAACAGAAGTTTTGGTTTTTTTCCCTTAAAATCCATCAACTATTAAAAAGCTCTTCTCACCTGCTCTGGATATCCATCCATACTTCTTTGCCCTTTAGTTTGAATTAAGCACCGTCCAGGTTGAGGTCCCCGGGTGGCCTGTGAAGAGGGGATCTGAATAGGCAATGGTGACTGAAATTGCTGGATGGTCACTTTGTTTATGTTTCCTTCATATGGCTGCTGTTCCCGGCTGCGATGCTGAAGGCTTTGGGATCCCATCAAAGTCTGGATGTGGCTGCCTGCCTGTGGAGAAGATAATCTGTCAGGCAAAGGCTTGTGGTGCTGGAAGGATGTGATTGAAATGGTAGCATTTAGGCTTTCAGCCACAGCTGGAAAGGATAATGAAGAAACAGTAAGGGTCGGCCTACTGAAGTTTGTGAAAATTTTAATATTGGAGCAAGGTTGCATTAAATACATTTGAGGCCATTTGATGGCTTGCCAAAAATTATTTCAACTCCCATTTTAAGGGAACAAAGTTCTGTTTGAAAGAATCTCAAGAAAAAGCAGTCACAACTTAAAAATAAAGTGGAGATCTAGCTGGCACTTTATTTTGAAAAACACAAAGAGGATATACAATATATCTAACATCAGGGGGGAATTGATACACCTGCTTCCTAACTCTGAAGCAAAATAATTGAATTACATAAGTTTTATGTCACAGGTGCATAGTAATCTTGTTCAGGTGAGTATAATCAATGTTTATTGTTCTATTATTCAATCAACAGCATGTTTTTTAAATTTCTAAGTTGTATTAATAATTTATCATATGGTAAGTTCCTGTGAGTACTTATATCTTGTAGAGGCACTAGACATGGCAACGTAGAAAAGGGAAACTATAGTGAAATGGAAAATCATTTAAAGTGAGAAGGTTTATCATTGCATTCTAAATAAGAGGTAAATTAAAGAGAAAATATTCAGATTTATTATTTGGCAATACGTAGGGCAAAATAAACAACATTTGATATAATGTAGATGTCCAATTGACTGTTTTGGTATTATGTACAATTTTTTATATTCACAAACATTACAGATAGTTCATTGATGAGAGCTTATTGGAAAAGTTACAAAGTTGCAAAAAAGTTTTAGTCTACACCAGTATAATGTGAAAGCAATTACCCATATAACATTGTCCAACACACTTCACATGATCACAAAATGACTATCCCCAAAATACAATAAACGGAAAATTTTATACCTCTATTGCATCTCTTCTTAGAAATCTGTTTGAAAGGAGACAGCCCAACCTTTTTAGCCATTCTAGAAGATCGAACACCATTCTGGGTAAGTTTTTCTTTAGTACAAATTTGATTCTTTTCTGCTTACATGGAATTTCATAATCTCTTGTTTGGTAGGAGAGGGAAGTCATGACAAATCCAGTATCAGATTTTGATCATCTATTCTGAATGAACTCATTGGCGTGCTTAGCTGTATAGGTAGAGGGAAAAAAAATCTCCTGCAGTGAGAGGAGCTGGAGTGCAGGCTGTCTGCCTGTGGCTGACTGACCAGGCTACTAAGCAACTGATTCATTTTCACATTTATTTCTACTTCCCACATCCACCAGTGTAATATTTGTGGGTCTTTAGTGCTTGAATGGGTGGGAAAGAGGAAGACTGGCAATTGAAAGTGATTTCATAGATAATCAAGAAGTTTTGTACCTGACAAACTTAGAAGGAAACCAGAACATATCTTTGGTTCCTTGATGTGTAATCTACATGAGAAAAATCAATAATGAATGTTGAAGGATTGCTTTGTTGACTAATCTTAAAATGGTCTATCCAAGGGTGAAAGCCTAATTTTGTACATTACAGGACTGTAATAGACTTTAGTTTTTTTTAATGGTTTATTTTTTTCTGATGGCATAATTTGAGCTGAGAAATTATGTGGACTTTGAATTCTTTGAAGGCAAGCACCATATCCTACTTATTTTCAATGACTGTCATAGTACTACAATTAATAATTAATAGCTATCATCAAATACTTGGTGCCAAATAATGTGCTAAAATACTTTACACATATTATCTCCTTTAGTCTTCAGAACAACATTAAGAGGTAATTATAATTTTCCAATTTTGCTGAAGAGGAAACTAAGGTTGGGAGAGGTTATGTAACTTTCCCAAGTATTTTATACAACTGGTAAACTGAAATGGCCAGCTTTTGAATCAAGGCAGTGTGACTATCAAATATCATGCTTTTAAACATGGCATTATATTGCTACCCTCTTCTCTCAAATTGGCATCCTCTCCTAATAGTTCAACTTGAATTGAAAAGGAACCATGGAAAGGAAAAAAGGATCAGGTTTTTGAGTGAGGATATATTTAATTTCTTTAGTAGCTCTTGAATTTGCAAAAGGGCCATTTCCTACTTGGTGAATTAGGTCTATCAGCTATTTCAGGTGCTATGTATGCAGCTTCAAAGCTTTACACTTAAGCAAAAAGGATGATGCTTTAGTATTCTTTCTGTTACTATAAAGTAATGAAGCTCATCTTCTCAGATGGGTTGGCAAAACCGAAAGCATGCGTGGGAAAGACACACTGTAAAGTGATTTTGTTTGTAACAGCAGCACTTTCATTCTCTTGGGGGATAGGCTGAGATGAATGGGATGGGGAATGTCAGCTGTTGAAAGCAGAGAATTAACACTGAATTTTGTGTAAAGTTAAACATAAGTGACAGACATCTAGAGGGACAATTATGATGCAGAAGGACTGTAAAGAGGTTTTTTTGTTTTGTTTTGTTTTGTTTTTGGCACAAAGGCAACCAAAAGGTAATAAAGATGCTGCTTTTTATGAAGTACAAAAGGCTGATGAAAATGTCTGAAGCTGGATTTGTTCAAGTAGAGGCTTAGCTATGCGAACATTGACTCACACTGAAGAGACTTTTAAACACTAAAGTTTCTGTAAAGACTGAACTACATATTTGAATGATAAAAAGTAGAGAAGATGTGACATTTGTTTGAAAGTTTCAAAGGGAAGCCAGACAGCATGACATGTATTTGAGGAGAACAGTCATGGAATATGGTATTTTTCAAGACCCCAAAACAAATTGTAAACGTTTACAGTGAAAACCTCCAAAATCCATAGGATTCAAGGGAACATTTATGTCAAAACCAGAGGAAAGAAATGTTGATCTGATTTTAAATGGTATTGTTTTGGCAAAATTCATTCCATGGCTAATCAGGCTTATTGTGGGAAATTGTGAAGTGTTTGAGAGTTTTTTTTTTTTAATGATATGAAAGAATGGCTTTATCCCTACAAAATGCTTTGGTTCCCACTGTTCTTTTAGATAAAAGAGTGTTAGACTGAGAAGTACTTAATTGGGTCATTTGTTTTATTACCTGTCTTGGCTCTTGAGCCACTATAGCTTACTCCAAAAATCAAACACAGCCTGGAAGGATGGCAATTTATGCCACGGAGAATGTTGAGAACAACATCATTCACTATCTACAATTAAGTTCAACAAGTTCTAAAAAATGTTAAGGACCAAGGGCAACAACACAGAATCATCTGTAAAAGTTAACTTAGTAACTGAATTAGCACTGTTTTTAAAAAGTCAGTGTGAGTAATTTTGTAAGACAACAACAGCAACAACTACAAAAATCTATTCTATCACTTTGTATTCAACACTACATATTCTACAGTCCCCCTTTTAATGTAGGCTGTTTTAAAAGGTGAGCCAGTAAGACTTTTGCTTCCAGGTAGATGGACTAAATGTACTTTTCTCTATTCCCTTCCTTAACTATAATGACAATTCCTGGATGTTATATATAAACAAATATAATAAGATTTTAAAAAATACAAGGAACCCAGGAACCAAGTCACAACATGGCCGTAGCTTCCTGGAGCTACATATCCAGACTTGGAGCTGAAGAACTGAGAGAATGTTAATAGATACAGACAAAAAAACCCCCAAAAAACAAAAAACCCCAAAACCCAAAGAAAGCAAAAACAAAAAACCCACAAAGACCTCAAACAGAACCCTACTCCCTCTGTCCAAAGGATTAGGAAAGACAAAGCCTAGCAGACACAATGAATTTAGACAGTAACTTCTCCATGATAGCTGAACACCACAGGAAAAAAAAAACCAAAACTATGGCTCAAAATTAACAATGCCAGCAAAGGCCAAGTGGGTATCCTAGACTTCTACTCTCATGAAGCTATAACAAAGTACACCAGTATTCCTGCTGAAGCATTAGGGAAGGCCAAGTAAGGCACCTCAGTATTCATACGAATGACTGGTAATAAGCCCTCTCCCCCAACAGGGTCAGTGGAGACTGCATGAGGAATTTGAACTTTCAATCCCATCCAGCAGTAATGACACACTTTCTACCTTTCCAATTAGAGTCAGAGAAAGTCATTATTAATTAATGACTTTCACTATCACCCAGTGGTTATGAGTCCCCCCCATCCCAGTTTCAGTGAAAGCCATGTAGGGAGTTGGCACTTCCATCCCCACTTAGCAATACTGAGGAGCTTTGGCCTCAGTTGACAATGAAAGCTAAAAGGGAAAACTAGACTTCTATCACCACTTGATAACAAGTCAGTCCCTGAACATTCCTCAAATGAAATGGTATCAGAAAAACCTAGCTAAAACTGAAGGCTTAAATAAAGTCCAATATTTTATAATGTGAAAATATCCAGGTTTCAATTGAACTTGCACATTTTTAGCTCAATTCATATTCAACTGAAAATTACTCAGTGTACCAAGTATCAAGGAGATCTCAGATGAAATGCAAGAAGACAATAGGTGTCAACATTGAGAAGACAAAGATGTTAGAAAAATTAAATTTTAAATTTATTTGATTTTAAGGCAGCCACTAAGAAAAGCTTCAAAGACCAAATTACACACATACTGAAGACAAATGAAAAAAAAAAAAGTAGAGCCATCAGCAAAGAAATATAAATTCTCAACAAAGAAACAGTCTCAGTAAAGAAGAAATTAATGGAAATTTTAGAGCTTAAAAATACAACAGAAATAAACAGTCACTTAAGGATAACCTTACCAACAGATTAAAGAGAACAAAGGAAAGAGACAGTAAACTGGAAGATGGGACAAGAGAAATTATTCAATCTGAATAATAGAAAATAGACTAGAAAAATATGAGCAAAGTCTTAGGAACCTGTGAGACTAGGCAAAAGCTTTAGTGATCATATTAGCAAAAGGAGATGAGAAAGAAAGTGGAGCTAAAAAAATTACACGATGAAATAATGGCTAAAACATTCTGAGTAACAACAAAACCCAAATGATCT